AGCGCTGCTCCGTTAGCAGTCCTCTCTCCAGAGCAGTAGCTGGCACGTGCTGTAGGTAGCAGGTGACTGAGCGCAGTCCCAGAGGTTTGGCTGGGAGGCGGTTGCGTATCCTGAGCAGGACAGAAGCCTGTGGCTGCTCTGGGCCTCTGAACTTGCCAGGTGCCTGGGTTGCCGCCTTGTAGGGGGTGCAGGAGGGGATCGCTGGGCTCTCATAGCTCTGACATGCAACATCTTCCTGCTGGTGCTTGCAGGTCAGGGRAGGAAATGCCAGCTGGACACATGGTCCTCAGTGGCTGCCTGCACGAATATCCTCTGGCCCTGTGACTTGGAAAATGCTTCTTCTGTCTTAGCCACTTATGGGGATCCTGTTTCCTTCTCTTTGCRCTATAGACGTGGAGGTGGCCTGGGTACTCTGGGGGAGGTGACTGGAAAGCAGCCTTGCAAGGAGTGTCTGTGTGTAATGTTTGCACAGGACTTGACTTGAGATTGGTTTTCTTTTTCCATTTAACACTTTCTCTAGGTCCTTTTCTTGCCCTTGTGCTAGGGAGCAGGTGGGAGACATGTATTGCAAAAAAAAAAAAAAAAAAAAATCCCTTGATAAAGGAAATTCTGTGAAAACTTAAGTGAAAAACAGGGAAGACTTTGTGGAAAGGACATAGCCATCCCTAGGACTAAATCTTTTGAATGTGACCTGCATCAATTAAATACTATGAGAGCCTCTATTCTCAAATAAGTGGGGACCTAGAAATAGTCTTACGAACATTGCTGCTGCTCCCCACTTAGATTTCTCCTTTAGCCCAAGCATTGGACAATAATGAAAGGAGATGTTTCCGTTTGGGATTTGAGCACTGAATTCTAAATGTTTAGTAATTGAGTTAAAGGAGAGGATCCATTAGCTGCCAGTAAAAGCACTTGCGTTCCCTCTGCAGGATTCTTGCTACAAAATGGCAAGGTATTAAAATATTACAAAAGYCTATGCTGATATGGGAGACTAGGTACATCATTAAACACTTAAAGTTCTGTAGCAGTTCTGAGTGATGAAGAGTATCTTGGAGTTCATGTATGAGCTGATTGCCCTGTACCAATTTATGGGGTAAACTAGTCTTCTGTAGAATACGTGAGTTTATCAGAAGAATTAGTGATAGAGCTGTGCCCTTTTTTGTGTGCTTTGTTTAACTATGTTGCAATATCTGCTAAGACTAACTTGGGCCTCTGCAGYTCTCCTGTGGCTTCAGCCAGAGCCCCTGGGCACGAGCAGAGGTGTGTGAGTGGTTCGAAGGAGCGTCCCCGAGGGAAAGGCTTCCTCAGGGACACTGGAACGTTGCGGTCACTTCACTCTGGCTTGTCACTTGCATGAAATGAAGATGCAGCCAGACAAACCAGTGTCTAAAGTGTGTTTTTCCAAACAAATTTGGAAACATTTCTGAATTTTAGTTTCTTCTTTTTGAAAAACTCTTGAATCACTTTTGGAAGTCCTGAATATTTCTTTTGTGCCTGAAAAGATGGAACTTGAGCCTATTATCAAACTGCAGTTTGTATGTTGTGTGTGTATTGCTGTGTTGTGTGGTTTATTTCTATTCAAGCTATAAAATAGGCCTCAGTGTGTGGTCTCACTTGTCTCATGAAGACCTAAAGACTTGAATGGAGTCTGTGTAGTTTAGTTCAGAGTCTTGATGACTGTAGAAATTAAAACTTCTGATTCAGTGTGAGAGGCTGAGCTGTCTCTTTCTGTTCTTGGAAGTATTTATATCCATTTACAAATGGATAGCATTTATTCGTTATCACATTGCTGAGCTCTCTGTAATAATGTCCTCCTTACAGTTTTTGTCTGCCTTTGATTCTCTTTGGTAGTTCATTAAACAGTAATTTTTTCTCATAAAGGTTTTTCCCATCAATTACCTGATGCGTTGCAGCAGCAGATTTTTTTTGAGGAGTGTTTTGTAGGTGCCCAAATGTTCTGTTAATGTTTCCATTCATAATCCTGTGTGACTGGCACTGTCTTGCAGGTATTGGAGTTGTAGCAACTATTGCAGGTCATGTGAAACATCCCAGGATTTCTAATCCTTTCTCAGCACAGAGCAAATAGAAGGTAGAGTTCTTGTTTGAGTTGCCTAACCCGCAGCCAAGCTCTCCAAAGGCATGAAGTGGTAAATTTTCTCTCTACAAAAATGCCGTTGATGCTGTCAGGAAACTTGGCCTCCTGCTCGAGCGTGTGTCACCTCTGCTGTTTATTCTAGCTCGTAGCTGTCCCCCATAAATAGCCGTGGGGCAGGTGCAGCTCCGTGCGGGCCGTGCGCAGGCGCCGTCCCTGCGCGCTGCCGGGAAGCTCTCCCCGCAGCTGCCGGCGAGGCTCTGCCTTGGGCAGCACGGCCTGCAGCGCCGAGCCGGCCCCCGGGCAGCTGCAGCAGGCATGGCCAGTTACAGAGGCTTCAGCGTAGCTTAAAAATAAAGGGATAAGAAAATCATCAAGAATGAGAGGAAGGCAGCTTCTTAAAAACAACATAATTCAAGGACTACTTGCACTTTATCCTGTTTGTGGAAAGTAGAGGTGTATTCTRCCCTTCCCACGCTGCTTCTCCAAACCCCATTCCAAATGTCTGAATTTCCACTTAGATACATTTGTGTAAAATTCTGGATGGGATAATGCCAGGACCCTTGAATATAAAGTTCATGAGCCATTGCCAAAGCAATGACCGATTTGCTTGACCGATACAGGCTTTGGGGAACATGGGGGCTCACAGGAACTTTTCTGTACTTAAATACATGAATGTTTAATATATGTAATGAAGTAATTAAATCTTTATGTTACCATGCAACCTCTTGTTATCTCTTATGCTTCTATCATAAATATAACTGCTAAATTCCTTTATATGTTAAGTATGTAGGCTTATGTATGGGTAAGTATGTATGTACTAACTAGCTAGCAAAATTTGTGTCATGTATCTTGAAATGCTGCAGGTGAATTTCTTGTCCCTTTGTACCTTGTCTGGGCAATACTGTGAGCATTACTGTATTGTGTTACTGCACAGACTACAGAAAATACTGATTGTGGACTCTTGTTTAGCAGTGCCTTGGTGGCTCTCCTGCTTTTCAGCATATAAATTGTACTGATGCAGCAATCACCTTTCATTTTTTCCAGTCCTTCATAAAGTTTCTTCCAGTTACGTGGAAAATAGGCAAAAGTTTAATTGTTTTAACTGGTCATTTATTTATTGTTTTAAGTCTAACCTGCTGCTTATTCTACGAAAAGGGTAACAACTGCCAAAGCAACATATGTGAGTGACTTGAACAGTATTGTAGTAAACAGCCAGTTACACTAACATCTTAATTCATCACTCACTATGGGAGAGTGACAGTTCAGCATATGGCCAAGCTCTTCAGATGCTGGTTTGATGTTTCAGATATATTTAGGACTATTACGTTCTTCCATTTGGGACTTGGATCTAGTTTGCAAGCCTATTACTCCTTGTGAGCTTTTGACCATTTTTTTTTTTGTGGTGCTCTGATTTCATAAAGTTAGAACGAGTGAATTAAAGTTGTTCCTCTGTGCTATGAGAGAATGGCAAAATGAGGATATGAATTATTTACTAGAGATTATGATGACCTCTTAATGCGCATTAAGGATGTATGGCAGCGATCTGTGTAATGTTTTGCATAGCTTATAAATTAGCAGTGGATTAGTGTTTATATAGGCAAACATAGTGTTTGTTTAGAATTATAGCCAAATAATCGTTGGAAGGGAATACTGTTTGAGTTTTATGATAGGAGAGTTTAATGAATAGTTGGATAATGCTGTTTTCTATTTGTTATCTCAGTAATTACTAAAACATTTGTATTAACTAAATCTTGAAATATGAACCTTAGAAACTGAAAATACTTTATCATTCCTCATTATTGCGGTTATTGGACAGACTTGAGCTGTTTGGCTTTCTATGCCAGACTAACAATTCCTGAATTCCTCCTGTGACTGGGTGGGAAAAAAGTAGATTTTGAGCTTAGTTTCCTCAGTGACTCGGGTGCCTCGATGAGGCAGGTTGGGAACCGAGCGCTCRCTCGCCTCCCGTGGGGCTGCTTGCGTGTGAGGAGCTCGGGCCCCACAGGCCCTGCAGCTCGAGTGTGCAGCACCCCGTACTGGCCTCGCCAGCACACAGAAAAATGCAGCAGCGATTTGAAGCTGGGATTAATTTTCATAGCGATTTGGGAAATCACACAGCTCAGAGCGAATGGCTATTCTGTGAGAAGGCCTAAATAYGTCTGTCTTTTGGAATATAAGACACTGGAACTTTGCTTTTCCTGTTAAGAGGTGGGCAGGTGAGATGAGGTAGGCTGTTTAGCTACTCTGCGGTGCTTGCTCCTTGCTTACTGTAATCAAATAGTGTCTCACCTGTATTAAATGGAGTAGCTGTTTCTCTTTAGAAGATCTTAGATACACAWCCGCTCAAGTTTGTTTGAGATCCAGTGTCTTTCACTGGAGTTGCCTTGGCATTAGGTGTTGTAGGGGTGTGTTTTTTTGAGGCAGGTTTTTGGGGTTTAAGACATGCAGAGTTCTGCGAAGAGTTGGTGCTTCACAGGACTGACAGGTTCAACTTGCTGCTGCTTGTTTGCACCTGAAGAATGAGCAGTTGGCTAGTCCTGACCTGGTGGGGGTCAAAACAAGATTCTGGGGACATCTCATAACCCCATGGAATCTGCCTGTCCTCCTTGCCACTCTGGCCAGGTACCATCTTCGTGTTTTTGTCAGCTAATGGATCTTGTGCTCTTTTGCTGCAGACAGGCCCTTTTCTTTATGATACTCCTTTTACCTAGTGATCAAGAATTTTCATTCAACTTTTATTTTCCTCTTTGCAAGGGACCTAATCTCTTGCAAAGAGATGATGCTGTCTGGATTGCTCCACAGCAGCCTCTGTTAATGCTATATTTTCATGTAAGCATTATGGTTATTTTTCTACAGCTAAAGAGATTGTTTTTCCTATAGAGTCTTAATTCTTTTCATTTCTTTTAGGTAAACCTCAGATTCAGCCCTCCAGGAAGCCCTAGAAAGGTAAAAACTAAAAATCTTTCATTAGTGTTACCTTTCTTTTGAGTTTTTATGTGCTAGTCTGATGCTTTATCCTGCTGTAAACAGTATAACTTATAGATTATCGATAAAAGTACCCTGAAGTCTTTTGGGTGTCTCATCTTAGAAAAACATGATCAGTAGAAGTGTTCAACCATTTTACATTTTAGCCTTTGATTTTCTTTGGAGTCTCTTTATTGCTGATATGCTTTTTTTAAATAATAATTATAATAACTCACTMTTACAGACACTGCTTAATTTTATTTGCTCCATATTATAAACACTATTTGTTTGAGAGCTGTCCCAAATGCACTTAAAAAAAAAAAAAAATTAAGATAGCAGGTTTATGCATCTTTGATATTACAAGACCTTCTTGACTAGAGAGCAGCTGCTGTGAAACTTGCTTATTCTTAGCAAAGCTCTTTGCTGGAGAGCCACAGAGCTGTGCTCGCTTGGGTTAAATGTGACTTGGTTTGATGCCTTTAACTGGGGGCGGGAGAACAGATCCACAGACCCTGCTGGCAGCTCTGTCCTTTTTAGCTGCATGTTCAGAAATTCAGCCCTTAAGTGAAAAACGAAGATATGCTGTATTCTGCCATCAGTGTATCGTGCTGGTATGAGTCGTCATTCCCTTAGCCTCTAAAATATCACTGGAAAGCTACCTAAGATGTCACTAAATGTAACAGTTCGATATAGAACTCCCTTCTGACCGCTGTCATTGCTAGCCAGATAATTCTTTGGTCTGCTTCTCTTCCTTGTTAATTCATGGTAGAACAAGGTGAACAAAACAATAAAACTGCAGGTTTGGGTTAGGAGTATGTCTCCTACTGCTCTTATTTCTTTTTCCCCTCTTGTGTGTGGTTTTTGGTTTTGGTCTGTGTAACCTTTTTCCCTTAGAAAAAGCCACAGGCAAAATACAAGGTAAGGTGTTATATAGAGAATAACTCAAGGTTCTGTTTTGTGTTTTTTTTTAATTGCAACTGGATGAATGTCATTCCTTTATGGTTTTAACTGTCACCTGCAGAAGCAAATGTAAGTATTGGGGATTCTGGAGTTGTGGATTTTCAATGAGCTGTTGTCATCTGAGCATGTGGTTCCATTTGCTGCATGACTCTCTCAACTTTGTCTTCCCTAATATGTGGAAACTCAAGCCTGTCATCTAGTTTTCTGTAGTTCTTTTTGTTTTAAGTGCTGTGGTTTCAGAAGCGCACTGACTTTTGCTGTTATGAATTGTATGTTGTCTTCAAAGCTGCTTTTCTTAGCACAGGCTGGTCCTGAGACTGCCCACTTAGAGAAAGGAAGCCCTTTGCAGTCACGCTGTCTCCTGACTCTTCCAGGTGGCTGACCTGAGCTTTGGCATTGATGCTGTGAACAGCCGCTGGAGGACACGGGCTGGTACAAGTGTTTGGCAGGACTGCTGGAACTCTAAAAGTGTAATTAATTTTAAAAATATAGAAAACTTACACTGAGCTGGAAAGAGGAGAGAGAGAGGAGGAAAAGGCTGAAGTTGACACTACAATTGCCAATCTTTTTTACCATGTTAACATCCTCAAATGCCTTAGGCCTAGCTTAACACACTTAAAAGCAAGACTGTTTTCCAGCTTGAAAGACCCTCCAATGATCTTTTATCTATGAAAAAGGAGGGAAGAAAGGAGGCCGGAAAAAGAACTTTGGCCAAGAGCAGCTGGATAACTGTCTGATTGTATGGAATAAAGCTTTTGAATTGGGCAAGCTGAATGTAGTCCTTAGCTGGCTGTGAGCTCGCAGAGGGGCTGTGTATTCAGTGGCTTCTGTTTTCCATGCTGGCCTGTGCTTATCGGACCCCCAACTGACATCTGTATAGGGGCAGTGAAACTGAGCCCTGTCCAGCCCACGGTGGGGAGGGACAGGGAATCAACAGTGAGATTTTGAGAAAGAGCAGGAATTGTCCCTGCTTAGCAGGCAGTTCTTTCCACCCTTTCCACTTTCCCTATTAARACCAGGCTTGGTCAGTGGCAGCAACTCCCTGGTAACTACTCGTAATGGGAGCAAATGAGCTATCCTGACCATTGACCTTCCAGCCTTTTTAAGTTTTATATCTCACACGCTCTGGAAACCTGCATGAGACCTGTGTGATTGCTGAGCTCTRTGTGTAATATTCAGTTCCTATTTTTGTTCTCTTGAAGGCTTAAAGTGTAGTGCATACTTARAAGTATGCACCCAGATGAAATTACACCAATGGTTGTACTGATCATATGTCTTTTAACCTGAGACAAATATGTTTTCTTTTAAATTTCAACAAAAATAGTCTATACTAACAACCTCTTTGGTTTTAATTCTCATGATGGAAAATGCTAAATGTTAAAAATACTGCAATAAAGAAAAATGAAACTTAATATATTCTGCAGAATTGGTATTGCGCAAAAAAGAGAAATCATTCTGCTGTCTTCAATTGTATATTTTTGAACTGACAGTCCTCTTCAGAAAGTGTAATTGCTTTTCTGTGTCACGTTAAAGACGTTCTTTAATGTTGTTCAGAAAGTTATTTCTTATCCTTATGGCTTTAACTTGTCATGACTCAAAATGCTGGGCTTTGGATTGTTTCAAGGGCCTTTAACAAGCTGATTTTTGAGACTAGAGCTACTTTCATTACTTAGATTCATATTTGTGTGGGATGAGAATCAGATGGCAGTATTTTAAAAGTGTAGTTGACTACTTCAGTCTTTTGTGCCAGTTATCTGTCCAGTCAGAACTCTGATATCAAGGCTTGAAGATTAGAGTTGGCACCTGTAGGCCTTTTTGTTTAAAGATAAATTAATAGAAATAGCCAGGAATAAGGAATGACACTCCTCTCGCAAACCCCTGAGGTTGCAGCTTTCCCCTTTCTCCCCTCTTGTAGCTGGGAGGCAGTGACGTGACACGCAAGCTGCAAGGGACAACAGGATGGGTGCAGAGCTGCTGGAGGAAAAATGCTCCCCTCAGAAGCTGCAGGATGGTGAAATACCGAAAGCTGTGTTGAGTGATTCAGAAATTTCAATGAGACATTCTGAAGTTTGAGCAGCACAGCTTCCTTGTTTCTTGCATTTAACAGGATGATGGATTCGTTGAGGATCCTGTTAGTCTGTGTGTGCAGAAACTTGTGGTACCAAAAGGGAAAATAAGCTCGTGTTGAACATGTTCTTGGTTTTTTAACTCATAGTTTGCTTTATAATGTCTTATACATAAAATTTATGCTCATGAACTACAGGAGTGAATCTATACCTGAGAAATATTTGGCACTCAGTGGAAAAATATTAGAGTCTTAGTTTTGAATCTTCAGCTTCAGCCAGAGCATCTTTCAACCATGTACGTGTCTTACTGACTCTTTAGCTGTAATTGGGCATAGCTTTAAAGCGCACCAAGAATGCATGTCTGAAGTTTTCTGCACTCACGTATGAAGATAAAAATATTAACTAGCTACCTATTGAATAGCAGTGTCAAGTAAACGCTCTTTCTGCCTCTTCTCCGTTGAAGAAACCCCCTCGCCCCCCCAAAAAAAAAGATGTTTTAGTTCTTCAGAAGACATTTGGGGTGCAGTTCATCTAAGTTGGTCGTCTTATATCTTACGAATTTTTATCTAAATCAGGTGCATGTAAGAATCACATAAGTGAATAACTTTACTGCAGTGTGTCAGGTTGCACAGCGGGAGTGTTTTACAACTATGACTAAAAGCATATCAGAATTGGGCTTTCCAATTTAACTTATGTCTGCTGTGTAAAGGTATCTGAAAACTGGCGGCTATGGCAGGAAGTAATCTGCTTGCTTCCTTCTGGAGAACAAACCAGTCAACCAGTACAGCTATTTTTGGTAGTCAAATATTGCTTTAGCTAGGAACCTATTGTACTCTGTTCTTCTTAGAACATTTTCACAGATCCATAAATCATAATAATGATTCTGAGCAAGACATATTGTTCATTGAATTTTTAGTTAAATATGCCTTATTCTAGGTGAACTAGGCCGATAAAATACTACGTAGAAGTGAAAATGGGCAGCGGGGGAAACCTTAGTTAAATACAACATAAACAGTAGTAATGGTGACTAGTAGCAAGAACAGTGATCAGTAAAACCCCTACCATTTTTGCTCTTTCAGCATCATTGATCTGTATATTGAATATCTACTACCTTTTTTCAAGTTAATAGTTGATTTATAGTGTAAGAATTTAAAAAAAAATACTATGCTTGATAGATTTCAGCATGAATGTACTTCTAAATATTTTTTCAAGAGAGAAGCACTTGCAGAAGGAGCTGGCTTTTTGGATGTTAGTATATTTGAAATGTGCTAACTACAGCTCTGAATTTCTCTCATCTAACCACCAGAAAAGTTTGTATTTCTTAATGGGGCAGCTTTGCAGGCTGTCGGGAAGGAGGAGCAGGTACTAAACGTCCCATTTCCTGGCTTCTGAGGTAGCAGGCCCACATGCTGCCTGGGCAGAAGATGGCAAGCTGCTGGGCTTGTCTCCAGACTTGCATTATGCGATTGCTTTGTTATATCTGGCCAGCAGCTGTTGCAAGAGGGGTAATAAATGAATCCTCAGTTCAGGCCATGACTGCTTGCAGAAACAGTCAGCTGAGGGCAAGGAAAACTCACTCGAGCAACCCTTGCATATTTGCAGCAGAGGGAAGGAGGAAGGGGATGAGTGAAGCGTGCTCGATGTTTCTGAGGTGCTCAGTCGCTCTGAAGTGTTCATCATTCATCACGAAATGAGGATGACTTTGTATGTGTGTGCTGCTTTCTATCATCTGGCAGGTAGCAGAACTTCTCGGCCTCTTCAGAGCAGGAGACTGAGTTCTTCTGTCTAGCAGAAAGAACCTGATGTGATTTGTTTGAAGAAGTGACTTGAATTTGAATTTTTTTTTCACTTAGGGCAAAAGCATTGCTTCCCTTTCCACTATCCCTTTGAAAACCTCAAGATAAAGGTAAAGAATAAGATCAAATCAAAAAAAGGAAAAAAAAAAAATTAAAGGAGTGTGCCCCAGAGGGGATGAAGAGAAGGATAAACCAAAAGAGTATTGGAGTCTGGCTACATGAAGCACAGGGTGAAAAGAACAGGTTAGGCCATTAGGAACTCACCCTGGGAAGAGCAACTATTACAGATTAAATTGGTGCAGATAATAAGAATAATCTTAAAGACAAAGATGACACGAGAAGGAGCAACTTAGGCAACATGCTAGGCTAGAAAGTGAAAAAGGAAGTTTGGGGAAAGGGTAAAAGACAGTTAAGAGCAGCCGAGAGGCTGCTGTGCGGGGAGGAGCCGTGTGTGTGTGTGTGTGTGTGTGTGTGAGACCCGGGCAATAGCTACAAGGGTTAAGACTGTGACTCTTCATGTATATAATATAATCAGATAATGGTAGCAAAGTGAATTAATGTGTTCATAATTCCCCTGTAATTCCCTTATCTATTTGGCATGACAGAATTAACAGGTTTATGAGCTGTCATATAAAGTGAGCACTGCTCTCATTCTTCTTTACATTGTGAGAAATAGTCACAACTCTAATTCCCACAATTCTGTTTGTCTACACAAATCATTAGACAATAGAGTTCCCCAGGTGCCTACAAGCTTGGTGGAGTGCATACAGGAACCTTGAACTTCAACCTAAAGCTTTTTCCTAAGCCTGTCTTAATAATGATGATGTCAGCATGAAGCACTTAGGACATATCCTGGAGTTTCATAATCAAATAAGCTTGTTTGGTCAGCCATTAAAACTGAAAATGGGCTTCCTAAGTAGAACATCTACGAATAGCAGTCATCCTGACTTACTTGCATGGTAGGATAATGAAGTTTAAACTGCTTTTCTGTCTATCAATATTGTAAAAATAGAGGTTGAATCTTGCTCTGAAGAAAAAGATTGGTTGTGAGGAGTGAAATGTAAACTTKATTAATGCAGCATATGGAGTTCTGCTCCTGAAAATGCCTCCTGTCATCAGAGTGGGTATTTGAGCCCCTGTTGAAGGCTCCTCTGGTGATCTTTCTTGCAGCAAGAAGCTGCACTTCAAGGTTGTGTTTCCTCCCAACTTGCAGGTAATGTGAAAGCAGCCTGAGGATAGCCTGGAAGGATGTGTCCAAGGAAGAAGCTGGAGGGCATGACAGCTGAGCTGGAAAACTGAGCCGCAATGCTAGTTCACGTGGCACAGGAAAAGTGGGATTGTTCTTTCCTTCCAATAATGTTCCTTGGAGTTATCTTGAGGGCTTTACTAGCAAGGAGTGAGGAAGGTGAGAAGCAAAGGCAGAATTATCTTAATGTCAAAGTCAAAACTCTCAGTATTTTGTTGCTGGTGTTCTCCTGAGAGTGGAAAGGTAGATCTAAACAAAACCTATAACTAAAATTTTTGCTAAATGCCTGTGTTTTTGTGGGGATTTTTCTTTCTGTTCTAATTGAAACAGCTAAAAAGGTATAGTACAGGTGATATGTGTATATCCCTTTTTAAGCTCAGTGATGGTTTCAGGTGTTGACAGAAGGAAAGAGGTTTTTTTCGCTCTTAAGATTCTTAGCTATCAGAGCTCCTCTATTTTGAGCTTGCAGTACTGATGAGCTAGGTAATTTCCTGTATTTAAAATTTTTAGGAAAGCTGCCTCTTAGTTGAGGCAATTATACCTTTACGTTGACTAAATGTATTTTAATATACAGCGTTAAACTATCTCTGTGGCCAAGAATGTTTATAGTAGCGGAAATTGTGAATGCAAATTTGAATTAAAAGAGTGGGCAGTGTAACTATTGGTCTTTGCAAATCTAATGAAGTTGAAAGCAATGCCAGTGTGCTGCTTTATGCTCGCACATGCGTTACGGCCACCTCTCAGTTACTGTTTAACAAGTTTTGACTGGAAAACTGGGAGTTGTAGGAACCCGTGTCCCAGACACCCTCATGACTTCTACCTACCATGGGAAATGATTCTAAATGGGATGAAAATCCCTCTGGGGATCAGAGGGGAGCAGATCCCTTCAGAATTTCCAGTGCCTAGGTTCAGTTATTTGACCAAGGACACACAGATAGTGGCTGATTTGAGTTTTGCCTTGAAAGTGGGTGTGTTGAGAGCAGGATATGTTCAAGTGTAGACTCCTTTTTAATAGCTTGGCAAAACTAACAAATCCAGTGAGCCTTTCAGGCCCATGACTCATGTAACACCATGGCTACAAGCTGTGCAAGATCTCAATGATTACAAATTCTTCCTTGATGCCTTATGCAGCCTGCTTCATGATTCCAGAAAGCCGCAGTTAATTTTCCTTTCTTTCTGCTTAGCCTC